TCTGAGAAAATGATCTGTTAGATTTGAATTCGCTATGTGCTATGGTTGAGTAAATATTCATAGGATGATAATTTAGATTAATTTTCATTGCTTCAGATGGTAGATTTTCTATTCTGTTTGGATTGCTTAGAATTTTAAACTTCATTCTTCCGATCTACGAAGTTTCATTACTCTGTTTCTGAGTTTTAGGATTTTAAAATATTGATGCTTATTGTGATACATTTTTCTCAGAGTCTATTTTACTTTCCGAATTGTAACGATTTAAAAGTGGATCATTCTTTCTTCTAGCAATTCTGAATTAGTTTCATCACTCTAATTTCACCTAAAGGTGAACAGAACAATCAGATTTCTCTCTTTCAAATCGTAAAAATAGTTATCAGATCTTTGCATTTCAGATTTACATTGGAGATTTTCGCAGGTTGTTAGACAAGAGCTTTTTCATTTCCGATTGCCGGAAAATGAGCTCAGGCAAGCCAGCAGCGGCTACCTCTTCTCGGACAGCATTTTGTAGGTCCACTGCGGTTTCAGCTTCATTTTTGTCTTGTGAGTTGATGCTTCTTATCCTTTTCCTTTTCAGTAGAGTTCATCCATTTTATATAGAACCACTGCAAAGAAGTAAAAACGTATCTGCAAGTTCACTTTTCATTTTGCAAGTTTTGTTGCATTGCTGTTACAGGGAAATTCACTATCACTCTCCAACTGTTTGAGCAAAATTTTCAGTTTCTTTCCATCTTTTTTTTTGCTGCAGATAACAAGTAGACACCTCTGAAACAGGGGTGAATCAAGTTACTTATTCATATGGAATATACAATTTTGATACAAAACCACTCGAATGATTATATAACAAGACAAAGTTTAGCTCCCCAGATTTCTGACCAGGTATGCTCATTGTTCGCCAAATTTATCCACGCCAAATAAAATGTGATGTTTTGTATCTCTTTCACCCGATCTGGTAATGTCAGAGAAATGAATCCTTGACATGTTTCGAAAACTCGTTATTATCTATGTTCATATATGTTAATGCTGTGAATTTATAGTCTTCACCATTCTGGAATAGATGTCATAATATTTTGTTATCTAGGACCATTTAGCTTTCAAATTGGTCAGAATTTATGTAAGGAGAAAGTGAACCAAGAAAACTTAACTAAGCTGATCTTTTCTTCCAATTGATTCAAGATGTGTCCATTTGGTTCTTTGCTCGCCTATATCAGCATTGATTCTTGCTAATAATTTAACAAAAGTGATCTTACTTAACATTGATTCATGATATTAAGGAGGTTTCAGAGAAAAACTAGACAACTATAGCTACTTGAATGCTGGTTTAAAAGAGTGGCACGATATTGAAATTTCCATGGATAAACAAATAATAAAAGAAGATGGACACACTTCCAAAATTCCTATTTCGTTCATATATCCTATTATGAAAAAAGCTGGGGAGACACTGAACCAAAAATATGAAAATCCAACAACTCCTCACCATATCTCCATTGCAGAACTGATTCATCCTTGCATGGTTTCAGACCATGTATTCTTCAACCTTCTGCACTCATGTCAACAAAACCATTGCCAGAAATGAAGCCAACTAAATGATAAGAGTGACATCTGCAACTTTATGTAAATTGCATTAATAGTAACTGAAACTAGGAATTGGTGAGAACCATTCAGGCTTTTACCACAAACAGGGAAGGGCACAAAGGATTTTCTGTTAAAAGTAAAGAGGAGAAAGTCCTTTACCAGATCATCTTGCCATACACTGGAAAATACTGTTACATCAGAAAACTGAAAGGAGGAAAAATAAAGCATGCCTTTGAATCTCTCATACTACACTAACAAAAACATTTGTGGCTCATAATGCCAACTGTATCCAAACTAACTATGCATCATGGTAATGATGCAACTTGTACAATAAAACTTTTCCTGCAGCATTTCCCAGAGCCATGAATCCTCCGTGAGGACTAAAATCCAAGCAGCGAGGATAGTGCACAGCCCGATTTGGAGAGGGCCAGTTTGAAAAAACTGTAAATGATGGAATGTGAATTAGCTTTGAGCTATTTTTCTTCATGCCAGAACTGATGGCTAATATTTGAGCATCATGATTAAATTTCATAAAATCCACTTTCGTGGTCAGATTCTCAATTGCCTTGATTGGTCTTCTCTTTCCCCCTAAAAACTCTTGTTTGTTATAAATATTTACGATCCCACTGTCTGAACCAGAAGCAAACAAACTTCCATTTGGCGAAGTGCAAAGAGCAGTACCATTTATGGACCCTTCATCAACACCTTTGTGAATGCAAGTCCTTGTCCTCAAATCCCAATGGTAAATATGGCCATCTCCACCAGAGCTCAGTAATTGTTGTCCGTCATCAGAGAATGCCGCTGAGCGGACAGTTCCATTCATTTTTAGTGTCCCAATGAGCTCCTTTGTTTTGGTGGAAACTAGCAAAATATATCCTTCATTACCAAGAAAAGCAATTGTATCTGAATCAGGAGATACCTCAAAACTTTCCAGGCTCTTTTCTTCCCTGCCGACTAGAGGACCTACTTTATCTACACTTGCTTTGACCAAGTCTAAGACATGGAAGAACTTCCTTCTTCCTGATATAATAACTTGCGACCCATTGGGTAAGAAAGAAGCCTTTTTAATTGGAAAGTCTTCAAGAAAGATGCTTTGGATCTTTGTATTTCGTTTCCCGTCAATCTGGAAAAATCTGAGTTTTTTATCCAACCCACCAACAAGGAGCAACTGAGAATTCTTGTGGAACTGAACAGAATTTATCGGTGCATTTGAAGGATCAACTGCATTAGCATCAACCAGTCTTGAATATTCAAGAAGCCCCGGCAACAATTTCGTGCGACTTTTGACAACAAGATCTTCGTTTGATTGAAGAATATCATCCACCAACTTGACATCCTTGGAACCATAGTCATCAATATGTTTACCTTCCTCGTCAGAATCTTCATCATCAGAACCGTAGTTTCTGCTTTGATAATCAATTTGGGCCCATTCAGTGCCTGGATTAAGTTTAGCATGTTGAGCCCTTAGTCTTTCCACGTACGTAGAACCAGATACCACATCTTCGCCCTCTTCTTTCCTCAGCTTCCTCAATCTGTTCACAGTTGCTATTTTTATACTAGCCTTCTCTTCTTCATCATCTACCCACACAGGTTTCCGCTCTTTCTCCACTTCTACGATACCTTCTTGCACCAGCTGTGCATCTCCCTCATAAACAGACAATGCACTATCAGCAACCCGGTCCACAAAGAACATAGCAGAATCATTTCCGCCATCATCTCGCTTTTCATCTTCATCATCCTTCCCGAAACCAACAGGGTTATACAAAGATCCAAACAATAAGTTCTCAAGCTTCTCCATTTCCTTCTTATCCTTGATTTCTACTTCTTTATTCTCTTCATTGTGCTCTTTCTTTCTCTTCCTATTAATTTTTTTCTCACTTTCTTCCTTCCCTTCACCTTTAGTCTTCCTTTTAGACTTTTCATCCCCTATCGAATGAGTAATATTCTGTGAAATTAAGCTGGCCATTTCCCAAATATCCTATCACTGCAAATATAGGGAGACTCCAAATTATTACACTCAAATTGGAAAACTTATTAAACCTAACAAAGACAATGCAAGTACTTGGCAGCAGTTCATTCGAACCAACAAAAATAATAATTTAGCTTTAGATAATCAGAAAAAAAAAGACAGGAATACATATCAATTTATTTTTCTTTTCCAACTTCCACCAATTCCACCAACTACAACAAAGAAAACAACTGTATTGAAGATAATAAACTAGAAGATTATCTCATAGCGAAACTTTTAATGTTACATTCAACAATCACAGAAGTTGATGCAAAAACCATAAAAGAAATCGAAAAAAAAAAAGAGAGAAGCAAAACAAAGGAAAATAGACAATTTAGCAGAAATTGTTACCTGAAACGAGGTGTTTTGCTTCTTTTTGTTTTACTGAGGAACGAGAGTTCTGGGAGGAATTAAACGAAACTAGGGCAAACAATTATAGAGGGGCCGGTCGTTTGGGCCTAAAATATGGGCTAATGTGAATTATAAGTACAACAGGTATTGCAGTATGATAGCCAAAATAATTCAATTAATTGGCACTAAATAGCCAATTTACAAAAACAACCCTACCAATATGGGTTGTGGTGTACTGGTGGGAGTGTTTCACCTTTAACCAGAGATTTTGGGTTTGAGCCCTGGGTATGGAGAAAATCTTGTTGGGAACGCCACCCCCGAATGGGCCCTGCAGAGCACGATCCAAATTTAGTCGGAGCTCTAATGTGGGCTCCGGACACCGGGTGAAAAACAAAAAAACAACCCTTATTAACGGATGAATTATTTTTTATACCTGAATTTAAGTATTTTGATAAGGCGTTAAATCAAAGTAACAACAACAACAACATACCCAATGAAATCCCACAAAGTGGGGTCTGGGGAGGGTAAAGTGTACGCAGACCTCACCACTACCTCATGGAGGTAGAGAGGCTGTTTCCGGTGGACAAGGCGTTAAATCAAAGTGAATAATGATATTTGAAAATTCAAGTTATGTTTGATTATGAATACAAATTAAAGATGTTCTTTCGAATTTTTGTGAAGATTACTCTTTTTAGAACTTCTTATTATATTTAGTTAGTCTAAACAATGATGGTTTATTTCTTAATCATTGTTAGGATTGTTCAAGCTAAATAAAAAAATTTGAACCAAACCCAAAAACACACTAGGTAATGACTACATCTCTCTTCATAAATTAAAACGGCACAGCCAAGACTGGCATAATCCCAACGTGGAAATAACGGGTGTGGTCTAGTGATCAATCAAGTGGTTGAGAATCCTGAAATCTCAAGTTCAAAACTCAATGGAGACAAAAAAAAAAATATTAGATAATTCTTCTCATCTGTCCTAGCTTTTTGTTGTCCCTTTGGAAAGTGGAAACATCCTATTACTAAAGAAAAACACACACATATATATTTATATCATCTACTGGACTCTTTCCTACAAATACAATGTAACATAAGATCTATAATAGTAGGGTCTTCCCATCTTACAGAAATATTATTATTTTAGCCAGAAATAAAAAGTTGCAAAGAGAGCTGAGAATCAGCATAACAAGTTAAAGACATAAGTAGCTACTTTATCCATTTGATCATGTATCCTTTCAAGTTTCATAGTCAATTCACTGATACAAGACATAACGCCCGTAGTTGCACAAGTAGAAACAAACGTTTATTACAATCGAACTACCACACAACTACTCGAAAGGAAACTGATGAGACCAAACATCTTAATCAAGACTTGACAATGTAATTTTGGCGGCTGATAGGGTTCATGACCACTGGGGGACCAGCAGTGCGAGGCCATGCCTGAAATTTTTTGTCAGTTTCTTTCCACCATTCGTTGTTTGCAACGGTATGTGGAGTGGTACCTGTATGAAACGACACGAGTGCCTGTAAGCACAACCAAATTCAAAATTGAAGTAAATTCATAAATAATTTGTACTTGCCTCCAAACACCTTCTTGTCTGCAATAACAACATCACAAGCATATGCAACTGCAAATGATGCCAACACTGAACCAACAATGTACTTTGTTGCCATTCTTGAACTCCAACAACTGAAAGATTACCTAAAACACAATAAGACAGTAATTTGAGTGCTTAAAGAATAGAAAAGCCTTAGGCCCTTGAAACTCCACTTCAAAAGAACAAAGAACTCATGGCATATGCAATTGATTTCAGTGCAGCAAAAGATGGTAATAAAACACTGTCACTGCATTTGATTTGAACAAGTTAAAAAATCATAATATTGTAATATCAAGATCTACCTGGATGATTCTTTACCCACTATCATAAGCTCTATAATGTAGTGACACATTGATGTTACAGGTTATCGGAAGGAACAAATGAATCATTTTGAGACCTTCAGTTTGATCAGCAAGCAAACTAGCACATGATATACCATATGGACAGACAACAAAAGATAGTTATATATTAGAACAATGTTTGGTTCAAGAAAAGAGAATGTGAATGGTAGTGTGGGTGGTAAAACTGTTGATTTACTTCTCCAAAAAGGTATTCACACTTCCCGTCATATCGTTTGGTACATCTGACAGGGAAGTAAGAGAACATTATATCCTCCTTTCCCCCTAAATTAAAGAAGGTGTTGCGTAAACCTGGTATCTTACCTAACCAAATAAGGGAAATAGCCGTTATCCCGATCCTAAACTCCTACTTTTCCAACCCGACAAACAAAGTATAAGTCCGCACCTAATATGAGAACAAAGTATGATGATAATTCAAAACCTATGTTGCTCAGACTCTTCAAAAATGTCTAACAGGTATGTGTAGGATTCTCCAAAAGTAATGTATTTTTGGAGAATCTGACAAAGGTGCGGCATCAAAAGTGAAGAGCCTGCGCAACTTAGTTCAAAACACTTGACTCGTGCATATTCACAACTTACTTGTAGTTGACCCTAGGAGAAAAAATTAACCAAAAGCACAACAACCTATATAGGAAAATAACTTCACAACAAGACCAACACATTCACATTCTTTTGCCATTTCTACTAACATGCCTTAAGAACTCCGGGAATTCATTGCTTATCATAAAGAATTCACCTAATATTATCACCTAAACAGTCATTTTTTATTTAAAAAAAAACTTATCTTTTTTCTCTTTTTTAGTTCAAAGGCCTTAGTTCAAGTCCAACAAAATCAAATATTTACTCAATGAAGAAAAATTCTATATAGATCCATATTCCCAATATCTATCAAGCTTCTGTAAGCAAGTTCAATTTTAGAAAAGACTTCAAAAAAAAAAAAAGAAGTTAAAATGAACTTTAATCATTAATCCAGCATACAACAAATGAAGATTCTTTGGAACTAATTTCAAGAAGCTTTAGCAATTTCATACCAACATTTTACTCATCGGGGCAATAATCAATAGCACAAATCCTCTAAATAATAATAAAAAAATAGTAAATTTACTTACAGAAATTAAAGAGGAATTAGGAGCTTACCACGATGAGCTTGAAGTGGGAGAATTGATAATGAGTGTTCTTTGCTCAAATGTTCTAGAAATGAGAAGTGGATAGTGCTTAATACGACGCCGTTTGACTCTAGTCATTATTTTTCATTTTTTTTTTAAAAACATATAATATTTTTGGATATGTTATTCTAATTATTTCACAATTTTAAAATCACATACTCACGTTTTTCTGAATATTTTATCGAAAATAACTTGTTCTATCTTCACAAGTTGGATATGTTGTTATTGTCAGTGTAGTAAATGTTTTTCAACAGTAAAGTCTAAATCATTTAACATCCTAATAAAATGAATATATTATTCAAGCTTAAATTTGTTTAGAATTTTATAGTAGAGAAGATGTAAGCATTTGATTTTAATAGAAAAGTATGCATCTACAATTAAATCATATTATAAAGATCACTAGTTTTAGACTATCAAGACACCCCCTCTGCCCGCATCCCTGAAACTTGCTTTCCTTTTTTGCTTTAAAAGCGTTTATGGCTCGTTTGGTGAGAGGGATAAGGTATAACTAATCTCAAAATTAATTTTAGAATGAGTTTATACCATGTTTAGTTGTGATAAAATCATGGGATAACTTATTCCTTATTAGTTATCTCGAGATTGTACTGTTATTTTTATTCCACAACGAGTGTGAAATAACAATCTCAAAATAACTAATCCCGAGTTAATTAATTTTGAAATAACTTATTCTCAACCAAATGAGCTCTAGTGTAATTTATCCCAAGTATGAATAGAGATTACGAGCTATTTCTTTTCAAGTGAACAATGACATAGTACTCATAGATTCCTAAACACAACATTTCGAACCCCATGAACACAAGAATTTCTTTTCTCAGAGTCAGACCACGCCTTATAATGAAAGGAGAAGAAAGGCCAAATCAACCCCCACCCCACCACCAAAAGAACAATGCAACAGTGAAATTCTCAAATGTGCTGATTAAAAAATAAGAAGAAGGCTGCAATTTCCTTCTTTACATTGACCTCCCTTGTGCCTTTGAAGGTCCTTTATGTTCCCTTTCAACATGTTCTACTAGGGAGACTGGATCGCGAAAACCTTTACTACATCTGGGGCAGACATCGACTGTCAAGTTCATGACACCGTTCTTTTCATGGACTTTTTGTACGTGGCTCACGAGAGCTGTGACTGAAGAAAATCTTAGAGTGCATTGCGGGCATTGCTCAACTTGCCCGTTAGCACTCCCGCTATGGTTTGTGGCATTGCTGCTTTGGCCCCTTCCGCTGCCTAATTTTGCCATTCCAGCTTCAGCTGCCTTGAAGAATGATGAGGCCCAACTAGAGGATGATGTGGCTGGAGATTTCTTGGGCTCGTCATTTCTACTGCCAGTTCGAAAGTTCATAAACGAGAATGCTGCTTCTGGTTTCTTACGTCCAGGACATTTGTGATCAGGTCCAAACCGATGCTTCAAACAATGATCTACAGTACACTCCCGACATTTGATTGTGTTTGAGAAAGTCAAGAACTCTCTGCAGCCAGGTACAGGACATTTTCTTTTCTTTGTGGCTTTATCGTAGTTTGATGGATCACATTCCGTGTTTACATGTGATTCCCAAGTTATATTCGGGTCTTCATCAGGAATAAGGTGTACTCCTTTTGCACAGAGTGGGCAAACAACCACAGTAACATCATTCTTGTTCGCTGTTGGACAGTGGTGTCTATTATAGCTCCGATGCTCTAGACAATACACCTGCCAAGTTTCATAACCCACATTAAGCCCCTTTTAGATCCACAAGAGGGGTTTGGGGAGGGAAGAGTGTACACTGACCTAACCCCTCCCTCTTAGATCGTAGAGATAGAGAGGTTGTTTACAATAGACCCTTGACTTAAAAGAATAGTAACAACAACGAAATACTGTGAAATGGAAAACAGTACACAACAAAGATTGGCACACTTTTGCAATGTCAAAATGCCATCATAAGGAAAATTAGGTCCATTTTAAGCATGATCAACTTGCAAATAGTTTCAGAACAACTTTAATGGAGAAGTTACTTTTTAATAAATAACACAGAAAGAGTCACAGAGGGAAAAGGGCTCAAATTTCCTACGAAGGTGCTATACAGCAAATGCAAAGATGAGAATATAGCACAGAATAAACTTGTCATAGCGCATTCAAAATGATAAAGATACAATGGAGTTCTACCACTGCAACATATTTGTAGTCAGATCTCCCATTTACTTTTCACATCTTCAGCAGACAGCAAACTTACTCACTGAAAAAGCTATGAATAATTCAAAGGAACCTCAGTCGGATATAAAAAACCAGATCATTATAAATAATAAAAACAAAAAACAAGGACATCCTACTCTCAAGCATCCCAGCTAAAATAGATCAACAATGCAAATGATGTACATCAGCTTCTTAAGTATAGCAGATTTATCGCTACTTCTTCGATGCTAGAGCCGAAGTAAGGAAAAGTTATGACACTCAATATCACTTTCTCCCACTCGCTGAATTTTTTAAATACATCATCAAGATCAATTTTTTATGTCCGCAAACCCCACGAAGAAAAAGAAACACACCAGATCAGAAATAAGAAAAACCTTCAAATGCAGCTTGACCAAAAAGATCTCAACTTTGATTAATGGATCAACTATGTTCTAATACCAAATAGCTGGAATCAGCTATATGAATCCTCTAAATCCCTTCCACACTATTCACCCCTTCCCTTCTCACTAATCAATAATTTGTCTTTTTAAGACAAATTATAGATTCTTAAATCTCACATTATCGCATGTTCAAGCCTCACACCATGCAAAACGAAGCCTGGTGTTTAAGTGGAGAAGGGTAGAGGGTTGAGCCCATTATCCACCGAGTTTAGAAGGCTGTGATTGGTCCAAAGGGCGGGTCACAAACGGATTTCTCGGTTATAAAAAAATAAAACTCACATTATCCCCTAAAGTGACTAACAAATCTACAGCCAAACTAGAAAGTCCAGCAAACACTAAATGCACCTAACATGAGTGCAACAAATTTACAACAACAACTAAACCTTAATCCCAACTAACTGGTCCCGCCTATACCGAAAAAGATTTCAACTTAGAACACTCAAGGTCATTTTTCCCACTAAGTGTATTCCCATAAACATCATCAAGATCAATATTTTATGCTTGCAAAACCCACAAAGAAAGAGGAACCTACCAAACCAGATTCAAGAAAAATCTTTGAATATAGCTTCCAGCAAAAAGAATCTCACCTTCGATTAATATATCAACTATGCTTCAATACCTGGCATCAGCAATATGAATCTTCTAAATCTATTCCACACTAGTCATCCCTTTCAATTTAAATACTCAATATTTTGTCTTAAATCTCATACTAATCCCCATTATCACTTACAAATCTATAGCCAAACTAGAAAAACTCCAACAAACACTAAATACACCTAAGATAAGTTCAACAATAACAATTAAACCTCAATTTCAACTAATTGGTCTCACCAAAATATAAAAGATTTCAACTTTAATCAAAATAAGTACCAAATAACAAACAAGGCTTAAACACAAGGGGTTTGGCCTTCTAGGTCGAGCTCATCACATGGGGAACGCCTAGTGCGATTTACCACTCCTGTCAAGTTTGCGAGCTATTGCACAAGACAATACTCAATAGTTTGTCTTAAATCTCATACTAATCCCTATAGTCACTTACAAATCTATAGTCCAACTAGAAAGACTCCAACAAACACTAAATACACCTAAGGTAAGTTCAACAACAAACAACTAAACCTCAATTTCAACTAATTAGTCTCACCTAAACATACAAGATTTCAACTTCAATCAAATAAGTACCAAGTAACAAACAAGGCTTAATACACAAGGGGGTTAGCCTTCTAGGTCAAGCTCGTCACATGGGGCTTGCCTAGTGCGATTTAACTCTCATTTGTGGTTTACGAGCTATTGCATAGGAATGGTGTGGTTGCGGGTTCCCTTGTCATAAAAAAAAAACACGCAAAATTACCACTACTCATCCCTTTCCATTTCAAAACACAATAATTTGTCTCAAATCTCATACTAATGCCCATAGTCACTTACAAATCCATAGCCAAACTAGAAAGGCTCCAACAAACACTAAATACACCTAAGGCAAGTTCAACAACAACAACTAAACATCAATTTCAACTAATTAGTCTCACCTAAACATACAAGATGTCAACTTTAATCAAATAAGTACCCAATAACAAACAAGGGTTAAAACACAAGGGGGTTAGCCTTCCGGGTTGAGCTCGTCACATGACGCTTGCCTAGTATGGTTTACATCTCCGGAGTGATTTGCGAGCTATTGCACAGGAACAAGGTTGCTTAAAAACACAAAATTGACCATACTGAATGTAAAAATGAAATCAGGAGGAACCTGGTGACAACAATCGCAGGTAAAAGGCAAGAAATCAATCTGCCGGCAGTCATCTACAAAGCAATGTTTTCCAAGATTTGGAAATTCTGGCGTCCCCATTGAAATTATCAATCAACTTCTTCAAGCAAAAAAATAAAAAAAAAATAAGAAAAGTAAAAAAAAAATAATCAAGAATCTGAAAATGTTTAATCGATAAATTATACTGATATATCTAATTAATTCCCTTGATTTTTTTAGAGAATTGGTAAAATAGATATTGAATTTGCCTTTAGAAAATTTTGGGAAAGAGACAACACAACAGCAGAATTGAGAATTAAGCAAAAGTTCAATGTTGGGGTTTATCGAAAGTCGTAATTTTAGGTAGGGGACTCAATTGTAATTTTTTAATTCTTGTTAGGTCCATTTTAATTTTAAAAATTACGGAATATTTGGCTTATTAAATTTAATTAATTTCGCTTGAGAGGAGATATTAAGGTTAAAACGTACTTAATATGTGCTTTGATTGGAGCTAGTGAGCATGCGTTTATCCATGAAAGATTATAAATATGTTTAGACGATGAATTCTCATATCGATCCCAAACAATTATGAGTAATAATATTGATACTCACATTGAATTTTAAGTAATTTAATTAGTGTTTTCGCTAGTTTTAGTCAAAACCAAAATGTCAGTGAAAACTAACAAGATAACAAAAAATACAAGA